ATGCGCTACCATGCCCAGCTAATTTTTTGATTCATAGTAGAGACGAGGTCTTGCCAAGTGGCTCGGGCTGGTCTTGAACCTGCAGGCTCAGGCCATCCACTTGCTTCGGCCTCCCAAAGTGCTGGGATGACAGGCTGAGCATCTTCTTATATTCACATCTTCCCTTCCCAGCCCCATGAGGTGGGGGTGATATTCTCAGAAGACGCTGGGGCACCTTGCACCCGAGAAAGCATGCCCCAAGCGTGGTTCTCCTGGAATGAGACATGTTCTGATTACCCGGATGACCCTCTTCCCTCCTGAATTCAAGGACTCTGCTTGTCCCTTGCCATGCCTGGCATGGTCTTCCACCCCTGATAGCTCTTTCTGCAGTAGCCAGGTGCCCCGAGCCAGAGGCTCCTCTCCAAGATGTGTGCTGAGGGAGCACTTTCTCAGCGTTGTTTCTGAAGTCTTTGCATCGGAGCCAGATGGGCGTCCTGGTAAACATGCAGACCCCCTGCCTGCCTGTCTTCAGATCTGCAGAATTGGGAGGATAGGGCCCAGGAATCCGAATCCTAAAGCCACTCAGGTGACTTGGAAAAGTGTTCCTGACTGTGACAGATTGTAAACCCCTTGCAGGCCAGGATTGTATCTTATTCTTGTATGTTTCTCTAGCATCTGGCATGGTGCTTGTGATGGGATAGGTGATGGATGGATGGTGGATGGATAGATGGACGGCAGGAAGGGGAAGGAAGGATCGATGGATGGGTGGATGGATGGGTGGATGGATGGCAGGCAGGTGGATGGGTGGGTAGTTGAAATAGATGAATGGATGGATGGTGGGTGGGTGGTTGGAGGGATAAAAGGGCTGGAGGGGTGGTGGGCGGATGAATAGATGGTGGATGGATGGTTGGAAGAAGGATCGATGGAGAGGTGGATGGATGTATCGATGGGTGGATGGAGGATGGGTAGTGATTGAGTGGTTGGATGGATGGACAGACGGATGCATAGATGGCAGATGGATGGAGGTGTGGATGGATTGGCAGATGGTTGAATGGATGAGTCGATGGATGGTTAGATGGATGGGTGGACAGGTGCCTGAGATGGATAAACAGAGATGGATGGATAGACGGGTGGGTGGACGGGCAGATGGGAGAGTCGGCAGATGAGATGGTTGAATGGATGAGTCGATGGATGGATGGTTAGATAGATGGGTGGACGGGTGCCTGAGATGGATAAACAGAGATGGATGGATGGACGGGTGGGTGGACGGGCAGATGGGAGAGTCGGCAGATGAGATGAAGCACTGGAAGGGTGGTCAGGCTGAGGGTGGATGGGCGAGCGGCTGGCTGGCTGGAAGAACGAGTGGGTGTGTGTGCAGAAGGGTGGGTGGCAGAGGAGTGAATGGATGCCTGACTGGACGCCTGCCTGAGCTGTCCAAGCTGCAGAATGTATGCTGGGCCCTGTGTGCTCCCTCCCCTCCTCCGGCGTCCATCCTGCTTTTCCTCTGTTCCGACGGCGCCCATCCCCTGCCCCACCATGCCTCCTCTGCCTTTGGGTCCAGGCCACTCCGGCCTCTGCAGGCGAGTGTGGCCATCTCTGGGGCTCGTTTATTGAACAGATACACGTCGAAGCCCAATGGGCGGCCGGCCCTGTACGGGGCCTGAGGCAGCAGCGACCGTCCTGCTAGGAGCCCCCCTTCTGGTGACAATCGAGGCCATGACACAGCCCTGTAAATGCCGGGACTGGGAGGGGTCGAGACCCCCACACAGCCCACAGCTCCCCAGCCAGATGACATCCGAACAGAGCGCTGAAAAGTAAGGGAAAAGCAGGCACTAGAGTTGGCATGGGTGAGTTGGCCCGGGGGACCGAGGACAGTGGGCACAAAAGAGCAGAATGGACAGAGCCCAGCGTGACTCCGTGCAGGAATAAGACACGGTCCCAGCCCACGGGGGTCCACGATCCGTCGCCACCCCGAGCACTGCAGCATCCCCTGGGAGCTTGTGAAATATTCAGATTCCCAGGCCCTGTCCTTGCCGATTTCAGCTCTGCAGGTGTGGGGGTGGGCGTGCAGGAGGTCTGCCTTTTGGGAGCCCAGTGCCCAGCACGGTCCCCGGTCCGCCCAAATCCTGGGGACATTTAAACAGGAGGCGTCTATGCAAGAAAGTGCCGCGTGGCTTCAAATGGAAGATGGCCACACAAGGGAACCGGGGGCAGGGTAGGACTGTGGTCCTCTCCCCACTCTCAGTGGCAGGTGGGCAGGGGAGGCGGGGAGGGGCAGAGCATCGCGGAAAGCTGGATGTGCCCTCCGCCTGGGTCCCGTGGCACCGGGAGTTTGTGTCATTTTCCAGGTCGGAAGAGCGCCTGTGCGTCTTTGGTGGAGCGTGGCCCACTGTGGGGGCCGCAGTGTGGACAGCGGGGCTGACCCTTTCCAGCCCCCTTTCTCCGCTGTGGCCTTGGGGAGCGTGTTGGGGGCGTGTCCGCTGTTCCTTGTTAGCGCCTGGCAGCTCCGTCTCTGTGAGAACAGACACGGCGGCGTTGAGAACGGCCCTTCCCTCTCGCAGGGTCCCAGGTCCCTGATCGCATCCTGCTGTCTGGGCCCCTCGCCCAGCAGGGCCGCCCAGGGTGGGATCCTTCCCCCATCCTCCCTTCAGCCGCTCGAAATGCCAACGCCTTCCCCAGAGCTTCCCCTGAGTCTCTGAGACCCGTGTTGACCTCCGAGTCCCCCTTCCTGCCTCCCTGGTCCTCCTCCTGCCTCCTGGGGCAGCTAGGACAGGTCTCCTCGCTCCTTTGCAGGAGGGCGAGTCCTCCATGAACATGGCTCCCTTGCCAGTCGGGGGCTACAGCCCCAGGCCCCCTCAGATACCCTGGGGTAAAGCAGGACTCCAGAGCTCACCCGGTCCAGCTGCCTCTGTCCCCATGGAGAAGGCCAGGCCGCAGAGAGCCCCAGACAACCCAGGGCCCCTCAGCCTTCCAGCCGTGAGTCCTCTGGGTCCCGGCTCCCTCTGCCCTCCCTGCCTCCTCCCTGGACGTGTTGAATCAGCAAATGACGGGGTCCAAACCTCCTGCTCTTGGTATCAGGAGCACCTCTCGGTATCAGGTATCACCTGCACACGACGCCCCGTCCGGGAAGCCCTCAAGCCTGCCCTGGAGAAGGCGTGCAGGCAAAAAACCCAAACATGCGGGACCTACCGAAAGCGTGTGACCTTCAGGACAGGGCCCCAACATCCGGCTTGCTCACCCTCTTGGCTCTCACCTCTCTCAAGAGAACCACCAGCCACCACGTGTGCCGCCAGAGACCCCGAAGTGGACCCCGACCCCTCCCCCCATCTTCCCCCACACCGGGTGCCTGTGCAGACTTTACTGTTTCTCTCCTCCCCCACACCCCCCTGCTTTGTCATGCGAACCCCTCTGCGCACTCCAGGCAGCCGCAAGCAGCCCCGCGTATGTTCTCACAGTCACAATACCCCAGAAGCGTGTACTTGGTAGACATTGAAGATGGGGCTAGAATGCGTTATTCTCCCAGAGAGGGGAGCCAGGAAGGAAGCAGCCAGCCGTGACAAGCCGCCGCCATTCCAGGTGGGTCCACCGCCCCCCGGCCTTGCACACAGCCACGCTTATGGGCGAGGTAGTCTCGGCGTGCTCTGATGAGTGGAGAATCTGAGGCGTGGAGCGAGGGAGACGTCCCCCCAAGCGTCGCGTGGGAAAGATGGCAGAGCGTGCGTCGGGGAAGGGGCCCGTCTCGCCCCCACACAATTCCCTCCTCCGGCAGCCCGTCTAACGGCGCAGAGTGTCCTGCTCACGGCCACCCGGGTGTCTCAGGGGCGTCAGCCCGGACAGCACAGGGGCAGGGGCCTGGCTCCCCTGGCCGTGCTCCGTGGTGACCCTCTCGGACCAGGATTCCGCCAGGAGCCTCGGTGTCCCTGCCGGCCGACCAGCGGGGCTGAGGCGTTCCCCGGGCCAGCTTTGACTTGTGTAGGAAATTGCTCCCAGCGGTTGTGATCGGACTGGTCACGTGGGACGTCGCCTGTCTGTTTCAGTTAGGTCATTCCTTCCGACGAGGAGGCAGGAGCTTGGAGAGCGGGCTTTTCAGTTCCATTAACCTTCAAAAATCGGGGGCTCAAGCACTTCTCTGCCTGGCCTTTGAGAGGAAAATGAGGATAAGGAACGCGCTTGTTGTGCCCTGACCCCTCTTCTGGCAGCAGGTTCCCATGGGGTTGAAAAGCAGATGAAGATGTGAAGGGGGATATTGATATCCCGGCCGGTCTCATGGCCACTCGCGGAGGGAGCGGGGGTGTTGGGGCCTCCAGGCCAGCACCAGGGCCCAGAGGCACGTGGGTTTCCTTACCCTGCCTCCTCCGGCAAGCTTTGCTCTCTCAACAGAAAGATTTGCCTCGGTGGGGCCATGGGGGACCAGTGGGGTCCTTGTGACGCTCCCCGCGGGCCCGTGGCTCAGGCTTGTGTCTCTCACCCTCGCTTAGCAGCTGTTTAAAGACAAATGTGCATTATTGTTCCTGCCGGTGTTCATGGTGGACCTACTGTGCGCCCAGCACGTGGCCTGGGCAGGGCAGGCTAAGACTGGACTCAGATGCAATCCACTCCTCAGGCTGGGGTGGCCGTGTCTGTCCATGTACTATAGTCCCCGGGATAAGGCCGCCGTGGGGCCGCCATCCCTTCTGTCTCCAGGGGACGGGCTTCTTTCAAACCCGATCAGAGAGGAATTCCTGGTCCTCATTCCTGGATTCTTGATGAATCAGCCAGCACGCCCGCAGCCAGGGCTCCTGGGTACGGGTGCTGATGGGGAGTCCTTCCTCCTAGCCCTTCCCATGGCAAGTTGAGATAGTGTCACGTGACTGGCTACACCGCTTGGCGCCGTGCCCTCCGAAGGGCCCTCTTGTCCACAGCTGAAGCGGGCATGGCCCGTGGGCAAACAGAACCACGGACGCTCCTGCCCCAAACCACTCCCCCACCCACTCGCCCTCTGCATCCCCCCGCTGACGCTCCTTCCTCTCTGTTTTCTCTAGTTCTGAGCATCGGTGAAGGGGGCTTCTGGGAAGGCAGCGCCCGCGGCCACATTGGGTGGTTTCCGGCTGACTGCGTGGAGGAGGTCCAGTGCAAGCCCAAGGACAGCCAGGCAGGTAAGGCAGGCCCCCGTGGCCTCCCATCCGTGGCCGCCCTCCCGTGGCCACCCCCCGTGGCCACCTACCTGTGGCTGCCCTCCGGTGGCCGCCCTCCCGTGGATGCCCACCTGTGGTTATCTACCTGTGGCTGCCCATGTGCGGTTTCTGGCCCCTCTCGGGCCTGGGGTCGGCACGGTCCACGAGCGCTGCCGTGCGTGGCGGGCCTTGGCTGTCGCGCTGCAGAGAAAGGATGGATGAATTGCAAATCCCAGGGCTTCTCTAGATCTTTGAACACACATTGGCTGATGGCATCGCGCTGGGCTTTGTCCAAACCAGAAATTCCTTACAAGATGGTGTGGAAGTTTTTAGTTAAAAGGCTGCTCAGTCCACGTCCCAGAAAACTTGGACCGTATGTTCCAGCCGTCAGAGAAAGACCTTGGCGGCGGGGCGGGGAGGGGCGATTGCGTTTCTTTCCCGATGGCATGAAGCAGGCAGCTTCCCGTGTGCGGGCGGGCTGCTCCCATGCCCCCTCCAAGAACCACACGGCAAACGCCTCCAGGAAACTGCTCGAAAGAGTTCGGTGTTCGCCATGGGAAGCCATCCCAGCCTCTCTCAGAACGTCCCCATATAGCTCTTGCTGAAAATCTTTTCAGAATTGATTGCCAAAAGATTGCATTGATTAAAACATGAAGAGCAGACCACTTATGTAAAACGGCGCCCGGAATACGCGTGCCCGTGTCTGTGTGAGAGTCGGGAGTGCGGAGCCTTGCGTGTCTTGTCGGAGGAAGCCGGGCCACGTGTGAGCGGTGCCTGGGTGTTGGTAGAATCCCAGACCTGCAGTGGGTCGCTGCCTTTCCATGTCTCCTGGCGGGGACCCAGTGGCCGCTGAGCTGTGACCGGACGAGTCCTCATCCCGTGTTTGGGGTTCCCGGTCCGGGTGCTGGCCAGGTAGCCCCTGTCCCCTATCAGTTCAGCCCAGGCCAGCCAAGGCCTCGACGCACGTGTCTCCCGCGGCGGCCCTGGGCGGCCAGGCCAAGGCGCCGCTGGGCCTCAGCGGGGTTTCTGCCTGAGATCTTGGCTCCAAGGGGGTGTCGGCGGTTCGTGCAGCAGCTTCTCTGCTTTCCAGTCTCTGCTGAGGCTCAGGCACCAGGCGGGACTGTGGGGTGTCGAGGGAAGACACGTCCGAGCTTAGCCTTGGAAGGGGAGCTCAGGGTGGGAAGGCTGGGGGGATAGAGGTCAGCAGGACGCGTGTGTCCTGGATGTGATGAGGGCGCTGACCCCTGGCGCAGGCCGGACCCCAGGCCCCATCGGCGCTTGTCCGTCTGAGTTCACACCCACCTGCCTTGCCGGCCGGCTGTCCAGCCCCTCTTGTCTGAGAAGGGAAAGACCTGGGACTTCGACTGGCCTCCCGCCAGGGGCTCTAGACCGCGCGAGGCTGCCGCCCTCCCCGTCCTCCGGGACTCCTGACCTGGGAACGTGGCCCCTCTTCCTGAGCTGCCCGCCCTCCTCCCTGTCCCTCCAGAGCCCCTGGGTCTGCGTTCTCAGGCATGCGGGGCGCAGCATGGAGGGCTGTGCCACACCTGGGGAGGGCAGCCAGGGAGGACCGTGTGGGGGATCGTTTGGCCTTTTGGCTCACTCCATCTGCCAGGGAATAGCGGCCTCCCGGCGAGTGGACAGGAAAAGCCAGGGCACTGGGAGCCCTCCCCCCCTCTGCTGGCGTCCTACCTGCCCACCCACCAGCAGTGTCTCCTCTGCCCTGGTTAAGGACGTGTGACTACCTCTCCCCCGGTCATGTCCCCCCCACCCACGGGGCAGGCGGGCGGGGGGGGGCCCCCGGGGG